AATCTATGTAGATTCCCAAATATTTAATACAAAGTTCTTGTTTTAATTCTTTTCCATTCAAATATAATTTGAGATTTGAGGATATTTTCTTTTGTGGAGGATGAAAAATAACAAAATTTGACTTTTCAATATTCAGAGAAATGCGATTTGAACACAACCATATGTGTACATTATTTAGCTCATTATTTAAGTTCTTTTGTATAAACGTAAGCAAATTTTTGTGTTTATAGAAAAGATTTGAATCGTCTGCAAATAAATGAAAATCTAAATGTTTTGAGCAACAATTGAAGTCATTTACATATAGCAGGAACGGCAATGGTCCCAGTACCGATCCTTGGGGAATACCACAAGATAGTGTTAGTTGATCTGATGATACATTATTCAAAAAGACAAATTGTTTTCGATTACTAGGAGCCAATCTTTTACTATCCCTCTAATTCCATAATGCTCAAGTTTCATCAGAATATCATGATTAACTGTATCGAATGCCTTACTGAAATCCAAAAATACACCACATGAAAATTGGCCACTCTTCAATTGCTTTTTGAATTTTATAAACAATGCACAATATTGCAGAATCAGTAGAATATCCTGTACAGAATCCAAACTGCTTGTTGTAAAGAATATTATTTTTGTTGAGAAAAACTATTAATCTATTAAACGTTTAGTTTTTCTAGAAGTTTATTAAAAATCGACAGAAGAGAAATAGGTCGATAATTATTTAAATTAGTAGACAGACCTTTCTTGAATACAGGTATTACGTTTGCCAGCTTAAGAGGCAGTCTCTGTAAGAACCTCATGACCTCTTTGGATCAAGAAATAGATTTCTCTCAAACTTTGTACTTGAGATTGCCTTTATAAGGTTTGTTTCAAAATGCATCTTGTTTTCAGTCTAACTGCATTTTGGCAAAGTTCCAGGGGGGTCAAGTTGAGGGCTAAAATTATGATTTTTGCTGTTTCTCAATAGTGGATTTTTACTGATTTTTAAACCTGTCTACATCAAACAAAAATGACAATAAAACTAAATCCTTCCACACAATAGTAGCTTTATATGTCTTAAGTAACAAAGTATCTACAATTTTTTTAAATATGTTTTCTAAATATAGAAATGACATCATTTATGACAGACTAAAATAGAGATTTCCAAGTTCCTTAAAAATGGGTGAAATAAAACCCCTAAAATTCAAAAGTTAGACTTGCCATGAATGTAATATTATTTGTATGGTGAGATTAAAGGTTGGTCTTACGTAATGTAAAATTAAATATTGCGGCCTGTAAATTTTGGGGGTACTACAGGCCAACAAAACATCAACATTTTTTACTTTAGGTAGTTTAGATCAAATAAGGATGTTCACCGTTTACTGTAAACTCTGCTTTCAAAGACCGAGATTTTACTTATTATTTTGACCTAAAACAGTGATAACATTCGTTTGACCTAATTTACTGTTGTCTAAAGTCTTTTAGGGAAATGCACTGACACAGGCATTTCCCGTTATATGTATGGATCGTATTGTATAAATAATAAAAATTTTCTAGCTGAATATAAACAAAACAAGTTATAAATTTGCAACAGGTAAAGATGTCCGTTAGTCAACAAATTATCGAACATCGATTTACTTTAACGATTTATTAGTTTTATATTTTAAAAGTCAAGAGAAAAGTACTCCAATATTAAATTAACTAATACAAAGATATGCCTCGAACGACAGCCTTGTCATTGAATGACCCCGATTGTCAGTAGACTTACTATTTGACTTTCATCAGCTGCCATTATTCCCTAGTGTTAATCCCTTTCGATATCTTAATGATTATTGTAGACACAGTCTTGTAAATAAATCTTGATTAGTCTTCATCAGCAGCCTATGCTAGTCAATTTCTCTGTTGTTTTTACTCCATTTTGTTATTGTTATGGCGGAAGCTGCTGACCAGCCAAATAATTCGGCTCTCAAACGTTGGCTCGTCGCATTATTAATCCGCACTCCCTCCCCCTATCGAGGACATCCATTTTTTGTCCCCCCTCCCTCCCCTAGAATTTCCAGATATTTTAAGCGAATTTTTAGCCTCCCCTGTGGAATTTCCGCAGATTTTTATTGAATTTTAGCCATGCCCAAGGAATTTGCGCAAATTTTTTATGAACTTTTAATCCATCCCATGGAAATTCCTTGACAGTTTTTGATCTAGCCAGTGGAAATTCCGTACTGATTCTTTGATTAGTAGCTATCCCTTGGAAAATTCCTTGCTGATTTTTATCCTATCCTTTGGAATTTCTTTTCCATTCTTGACCTCCCATGGAAATTCCATACGTTTTACTCATTTTTCTTACCTACCCTTTGGAATTTCCGCAGATTTGCTTTAAAATTTGGACTCTCCCATGGAAATTCCTTCATTTTTGGTTCACTTTTGGAGGGGGCCATTGGAAATTCCACATGTCCTCAAAGGGGGGGGGGGGGTTGATTAATAATGCGATCAGCCGTTGTAGCCTTGGAAGATTTTGCCTCCATCAAACAAAGATCATGATAAACCTACATCCTTCCGAAAAATAGTAGCTTTATATGCCTTAACTGACAAAGTATCTATAAATTTTTCTGATATATTTTCCAAATATAGAAATGTTTATGTATTTAGAAAAATTAGATTTAGTCTGTTTCATTCTTGACGGAGCAAAGCTTAACATTATTTCCGGACAAATATTTTAAATAAACACATTTTAATATTAAAGATATAACAATTGCCCAAGAGCTTTTAGCTCATCAAGGGGCTCTTGTTCTATTTACAGGAATTTGGTTGCAAGTAGGCGGTAAATATATTATGTCAATTTAAAATATAACCGGACAAATTAATATTATAACCAAATATTAGAAATTTTTAGAATTGGGAACAATTTCATAACTTTACCAAACATTGACAAACTTTTGCCAAGTTTGACCTGCAGTTTCGAAAGCAAACAATTCGCGACATGTTGCACGTGTTTTTGACAGCCGAATTATTTGGCTGGTCAGCGGCTTCCGCAATATAACAATAACAAAATTGAGTTATAACAATGGAGGAATGACTAGCAAGTCTAGCATTGCCTGTTGACAAAAGAAGCAAGATTTTATACATATGCGACTGTGTCTAAAATACTCATAAGATGTCGAAAGTGATTAATTTAAAACCCTAAAGAATAATGGCAGCTGATCAAATAATATGTCAACTGACAATCGATTCGTTGATCGAGGCATATATTATCTTTGTATAAATTATATTGGGGTAGGTTTTCTCTTGACTTTTTAAATAATCTTCAAAGTAAATCGATGTTCGATAATTTGTTGACTAACGGACATCTTTATCTGTTGCAAGTTTATAATTTGTCTTTGTTTATATTCAGCTAGAAAATTTTTATTATTTATACAATACGGTCCATACATAACGGGAAATGCCTGTGTCAGTGCATTTCCCTAAAAGACTTTAGACAACAGCAAAGGTCAAACGAATGTTATCACTGTTCTAGGTCAAATAATAAGTAAAATTTCGGTCTTTGAAAGCAGAGTTTGCAGTAAACGGTGAACGTTCTTATTTTAAACTACCGAAAGTCGAAAATGTTGATTATTTGTTGGCCTGTAGTACCCCCAAAATTTACAGGCCGCAATATTTAATTTTACAGTATTTACGACCAACCTTTAATCTCACCATACAAATAATATTACATTCATGGCAAGTCTAACTTTTGAATTTTAGGATTTTTATTTCAACAATTTTTAAGGAACTTGGAAATCTCTATTTTAGTCTGTCATGAATGATGTCATTTCTATATTTAGAAAACATATTTGAAAAATGTGTACATACCTTTTTACTTAAAACATATAAAGCTACTATTGTGTGGAAGGATCTAGTTTTATCATTATTTTTGTTTGATGTAGAGAGGTTTAAAAATCAGTAAAAATCCACTATTGAGAAACAGCAAAAATCATAATTTTAGCCCTCAAATTGACCCCCCTAGAACTTTGCCAAAATGCAATTAGACTGAAAACAAAATGCATTTTGAAACAAACCTTATAAAGGCAATCTCAAGTACAAAGTTTGAGAGAAATCTATTTCTTGATCCAAAGAGGTCATGAGGTTCTTACAGAGACTGCCTCTTAAGACGTTTGTATACATCTGTTTTGTCATAAACAAGAGTACAAATATCTATGGAAGTTAGAAATATGGGGCTTAGCAAGGCTTTTATAAATCACCAATCAATTTTCTCAACAACAAAAAATGACGTCATGTCAAAAATTATATATCACCCGCATTTTTGTTACTTAGGGTTCACATCTCTGCATCTTGTGGACCTGTTTACATGTTGGAAGGCTAGGCGATTCAAATGCTGGTTAATCCATTGATTTGCATTACACCCTGATGTGCTCTACCATTATTACTACTATTTTACTCTGTCTAACGCCAGAAAATTTTACTCGTCAAGGGCAACCTCGTTCCCAGTCTCTTTCCTCTATGCTCCTAGCTGGATGCCAAGGGGGGAGCGCTGGTGCTTAGTGGATTAATAAAACTCAAATGTTGTATACTAGAGAAGACAGTTAACTATAATCTATCTCTAGAAAATGAAGTTTTTTGCTGAATCGTGCACTGTAACTTATTTCAATACATCAAAATAATCCTGCCACACATCTCGTCCCGGCAAAGTAGGATCATATAGACAGACCTTTATTCAACAAATTGTGCATGCTGCCTTTGATCCCCTTGGGGGCACCTTTGATCCCTGAGGCAGCACTTTCCTTGCGATAGTAACTCCTAGTTTTAAATTAATAATGCTCCAACATACATATAGAAATTCTATTGAATTGATCATAGATTTCAAGGGCAATATTGTTCAAAGCCATCAGAAATAATGATGCACTTGCAACATACCAACCCACTTAATTCATTTCTAGCAGTTAATTTTACCTGTCAGGTAAAAGATCATCCATCGTGTCATATGCCTCCTCTTCGTCAAACAATTGCACAATATCAAGACCCAATCTATCGAGAATATTTGGTAAGGAACATATGCTTTATCACTTTGGTGGTAAATGGTTCTGAATGGGGTACAATTGCTTGATTAATTTAATTTAATTAATGCACCATATTTATTATTTTACTCTGTTTAACACTAGACAATTTCACTGAGCAAGGGGAGGGGGGTGCTGCTACCCAATGGGGCATCAAGGTCTCCTCATCTACAACTTACATATGTAGGAGTGTAAACGTTTTAATATGCCCAACTTTATTTAGTTCATAATAATTGGGTTGGGCAGCATTCTATACTTCTGTCTTGTCATAGAAATGTTTATTGTCTTACATTTCATGCATGGGGGGGTGTTATCATGATTAGTGCATAGTTGCAGAACTGTGCCAAGCGGTATCTGACAGGGGGGGTGAATTCAAAAATTTGGGCCCCCTTTCTGGGGACTCAACTAAAAAAAATGTTCCGAAATGCCCCCCCCCCCCTTCCCAGTAGTTCCGGCCCTGCATAGTTGCCATAAAATACTTTGAGGTATTTTGTTTTGTATAATACCTTTTTGGCGAATGATTGTTGGATTCTTCCCTATGATCAAGGCCAAAACGTTCCACAATTTCATGAATATATGGCCTATCTGTGCCGTTAAACATTGTGCAGGTGTTGTGCAACTCCAGCAGAATCTTCCACTCATTTGAATGCAAGCACTCATACTTTGAATCAGGGGTGGGACGTCTGCCTTCCTTGATCAATGTTCGCATTGCTTTTAGCTTATCCTTACGGTCTTTGACTTCTAGGTGATAGGGGTATCTGATATGAGGATTGCAGATTTTAAATAACACCATGCCGTATGCCCAGACATCAATCTTCTTTAAATCCTCAATCGTTGCTTCCTTGCTTACATCACTGTAAAGAATTGTTTCAGGAGCCATGTAAGCCGGGGTACCCCTATCAACATTGGCGGTTTTTGTACAAACTAATGTCCTAGTTTGAATTTCGCGAGATCGGCTTTCGCCAAAATCGGACAGCTTGCACGTGATGGGTTTCTTATTCCACTCCATAAAAAATTTCTCTTCGTCCTCCAAAGCGTTATAATGTTGGTTGCTAACCAATACATTGGCAGTTTTCATATCCCTATGAACAATGTCAATGCCGTGAAGATAGTTTAAACCTTTGGCTATATCTTCAGCAATCACAGGCATTAAGTGGACGAATCCTTTGCAGTCGTTAGTCTCGTCCACATGCGTAAGAAAATCTGAAAGGTTATTGACCTGTGCCTCATCCCCAAACAATCGAAAATCAAAGTTCACAAATTCCAGCATCATTGCGTTCGGATTCGTACAAATTGCTTTCAGCTTCACGATGTTTTCATGTTTTAGCGATTCTAACAATTTCACTTCTTTTATGAATTCTTTCATGGACTCCTCGTCTCTTTCATGTAATTTTTTTACCACAACAGGCACATTGTTAAACTTTGTACGGTACACTGCACCGAAGCTACCGCGACCAATTTCTTCTTTCTCCACAACGTCTTCCCATTTAAACTTGGTTATATCCGAGACCGGTAGTAAGCTTGAAGTCTTTTTTGACTTTATAATCTTCGGTATTGCAAACATGTTTAACGAATTTACAATGGGAGCGTCGAGTATTAGTATACATGTACAGTACAAGAACCTTCCACTTCCGCTTTTGTCCGTCTGTTGACCTTTACTGTAATAAGTTCTGTACATTTTTATTCTTGTATACATTACAGATTTATGAACAAATTCAACAAATAACGCGATAAAATTCCAGTTTCGCAGCTTTTATGTGTTAAAATGCAGTGAATCTAACGAAATATGCATCCTTTGCTACAAATTATTATATAAAAACAAAGATTGCCTAGGCAAGGGGAATATAAAGTTTTACCGAAATCAACAATGAAATATTTACCAACAGTGAACATATCGGTGCCGCGAACAAAATCCGAATTAAAATCGCTTTAAATCGGGTGAATATAAATAAAATGACATGAAAAACGATATTTTGATTTTATTTAAAGAGAATACAGTAATGATATTTCCATGGCATTTTAGAGAAATAATACAGTAACATTTTAGAGAATTATTCGATTGTTTATGCCATATTAAAAATAGTTATTTAGTTATTTTTGCATAAATTAGCCAGACATCTGTTTTCCATATTTCACTCTGACAATACGTCAGACTCCGTGTTTTCCATATTTTTATGACGTCAGACTCCGTGTTTTCCATATTTTTATGACGTCAGACTCCGTGTTTTCCATATTTTTATGACGTCAGACTCCGTGTTTTCCATATAACTCCGTGTTTTCCATATGACTCCGTGTTTTCCATATTTTTCTCTGACGTCAGACTCCGTGTTTTCCATATGACTCCGTGTTTTCCATATTTTTATGACGTCAGACTCCGGGACTCCGAGGCTCCGGAACTCCGACTCCGTGTTTTCCATCTAACCGAGTTTAACAGTTATTTGATAATTACTGCATCAACCGGCCCTTTGTTTATACTTTGGAGGTTCGTATATAATATCTATCAAGTATCTTTGGTTCAGAACATGACTGATAGGCCTATATGGAAATCCCACTGTTCGATTCAGTGAGGAAATATCTCCTAATTTCTATCGATAGTTTTAGTAAAATGTCAACATTATTGCGATTTATGGCCTTTGAAAGTCAAGCGAGATAGTATATTATCAAATTAATACGCATGTAATTTTCTGAACGAAAATATAGACTAGCCCATACCTTTCGCCGATCATAACTTCGGCCCCTTCGGACGTATCTTCTTTGTTAAATATTCTTGTTCGAATCTCTATCAAAAACACTATTTAGAGTGTTATTTTTCAGCTTGTATCTTTTAATTTGCTTCTTTTATTATGTTATTCCATTTCTGGTCTGACTTGACGTGAACTAATTTCAAAACGCAGAGTTTCAAAACGTCAAAACATTTGGTTAATGATTAACATTTAACCGAATTTAGCCGTTGATTGACAACTACATAAAAATACTAACCAATCCGTTTTTCTCGTTCACCAGCGGACGGGTAATTCAAAAACCCCTAGTTTTGCGGCAGACGGTATTTCCTTTGCTTCCCTAATTTTCGCTGCCCGTAGAAATACCGCCTGCCATGCAGGGTAGCGAACATATAATAAGTCAACTTTTACGCCAAATGTTGTCGTTATCCATAAAACTAGAAGTTCGACATCCCTTCACGAAGCAGCTCCAGTCGCTCTTTCGACACACAATGTACATAAAGATTGTCACGTCCATCCAAATCAGTAGCTTTGTTGCCACGAACAGTACGAAAATTCGCCATGATTTACAATTTTCAATTTGTACTTTTGAATACCGCTTCTTGTAAATTGAGTAGTGAACACAACGAGAGCCAGTCGAACAATGACGGCGCGTCCCGGGAAATCGATAATATGAATGAGTTACAATGCATGCCGGGAAGGGCTTCCAACTTCCTCTGACTACAAGGTTTGGTGAGCATCGGCGTGCAGTTATTGGCAATGATGCTAACCAACCTGTTACCAGACATTTTAATAATGGCAATCACAGTGTTTCGAATATGGTAATTCGAGCCCTCTGTCCCATTTCTGGAAGCAATGATAGCCGCAAACGACATGAAATGCACCTCATATCCAAACTTGGCACTGTTCACCCTTCTGGTATTAATGAACGCTTTTCCTATGTTTCATTCCTTCTGTACTTGCCTGTCCCAAGCAGATATTGACAACATTTTACTTTTACCTTATTCCCACTTTTGTTTTGTTTTGTTTTGTTTCGATTATTATTACTCGCTGGGACACTGTGCCCCAGACGAGTATAGGTTTCGGCACGCATTTTTGGTGGATGTCAGATTTCCGATCGTCGTTGATAGCCACAAAATAGAATATTAATGAGCTGCCTAATTTCCCCCCAATTATCCGTAAGGCTCCTGCCAATTTTACCCAAATTATCCACACATAGCCTTCCATTTTGAAGAAAATTCGGGAAAATTGAACAATTTACAAGGAATTTCGCATGGAAACAGCAACCTTCGCAATTCGCAAATCCGCAAGCAGAATTTTTTTTTGGGATCACTTTCTTTGGGAGCTTGGTAACCGCGCCTGTTATGATGCAATATAGGAAGCCTGTACAGCAGGAAATAGATTGCGGTCGAACACTTTGACGCGACTTATATTGTAGACCATTGTATACTTATTCCATAACCGCTGCGGTTTTGACGCATTATTCATCGTGTCTTTCCGAAAGCTTAATGTGCACTACTAATACTGTGACACTGTGTAAGTCACAGATAGTCTCGGTTGAAAACGTGATGTTTATACTAGCCGACAAGTATGCAAACCACGCACTCTGATGCTTATAGGCGCACTGATGTCAAGTTTGTCATTGATTATCATGAGTATCAAAATTGACAAATCAAAATTTGCCTGCGCGTTGGTAAGTTTTTTGTCCAGAAAATTGACAATATTCGCTCTAAACTCGACAACTTTGAGTTAGATTCTCCATCAATGCCGGAGGGGGAACCAGGATATACTGGGTCATTATTTACTGAATTTTGACGTACATCATCTGAGAAAATTAGAGAGATAGTACTAAGTTTTCCGAATAAGTCTTGCGCTAGTGATCCCATCCCTACTGATATGGTTAAGGACTGCATAGATGATTTGTTGCAAGTTATCTCTAACATGGTAAATTCTTCCCTTGTGGATGGTTATTTCCCCGACATCTGGAAAGAAGCATTAGTGAAACCTAAGCTTAAAAAATCGAACATGGACTTGATAAAAAAGAACTATCGTCCAGTGAGCAACCTTGCGTTTCTGTCTAAGGTGACTGAAAGAATTGCTGCTAAGCAAATGTGCAGTCACCTATCTATCAATTATTTGTTTCCTGAATTTCAGTCCGCTTATCGTAACTTTCACAGCACTGAAACAGCATTGTTGCGCACGCGCAATGATATTCTTATAAACATGAATAAACAACATGTCACTCTGTTGGTGTTCCTGGACCTCAGCGCTGCATTTGATACGGTGGACCATGACATATTGTTACGGCGTCTTAAATATAAGTTTGGGATGTGTAATAATGCGCTTGCTTGGTTTCGATCATATTTAGTGAACAGATCCCATCGTGTAGTTATAGAAAACGTAATGTCGGACAGTTTTGATATGAAATATGGTGTGCCTCAAGGGTCTTGTTTAGGCCCATTGTTGTTTATCCTGTACACAAGCAAACTGTTCGATGTCATCCACCATCATTTGCCCACCGTGCATTGCTTTGCTGACGATACGGAGTTATATCTCGCATTTAACCCAAGTAGCGATAATGCTCAGGATGCTGCCATCTTAGCTATGGAGAATTGCCTACGAGACATCCGGAATTGGATGATTACTGATAGGTTGATGATAAATGATGAAAAAACGGAATTTATGTTAATTGGAACAAAAGCTCAGCTCGCTAAAGTCAAGAACATTACTCTAACTATTGGTGAATCTGTGATTTCACCATCTGAAGAACCTATCAGGAACTTGGGCGCTTGGTTTGACCGTACCTTCAACTTGAATCACCATATCAATAAGACCTGTAGAAGTGCTTTTTATCATCTGCATAATATAAGAAGAATTCGCAAGTATTTAAGCAGAGAATCAACAGAGAAACTTGTTCATGCTTTCGTTACCAGTCACCTAGACTATTGCAATGGACTGTTATATGGACTTCCCAACAATGCTATAGCCAAACTACAACGTGTTCAGAATGCTGCCGCAAGGATTCTCTACCGTGCACCACGGTTTAGCCATATTACTCCGCTGTTGTATGAGTTACACTGGTTGCCAGTCAAATGTCGAATTGAATATAAGATAATTACACTTACGTTTAAGGCAATTCATGGAACTGCCCCTAATTATATAACTGAACTTATAACTTTTAAAACAAACTCTTCTTATAGTTTAAGATCAAATAACAAACTTCTTTTATGTCCGCCAAATTTTAAGACATTGTCTACTCTTGGTGACAGAGCCTTTATGGCTGCTGCACCAAAACTATGGAATGTATTGCCATTGAATCTTAGGAGTATCTCTGATTGTAATATTTTTAAGCAAGATCTTAAGACATATCTTTTTAAAGAGGCTTATTATTAGCTCAGTTCTTAGATTAAATTTGTAATATTAGTTCTACGTAATTTAATTGTCCTATCCATTGTTGTAACGCGCATTTGAAAACTGCATTGTTGAATTTGCGCGATATAAATTAATAAATGTTATGTTATGTTATGCGCGCAATGCAAAATGTGAACAAGACACGTTTATAGATTTTGCATTATCAACTGTAAGCTGAGGGCGATGCATAAATTCAGTTGTAGTAACTTTTAAATATTTCCCACTAAAGGTTAATGATAATTAATGGTACTGATAGACTTTATACGAGTACCTGCCATAACCCCAAATTTACGTCAAGTGTCCCAACAAATCCAAATATGTACCCTGAATAAAAGTCGCGGTTACCAAGCCTCCCACGGAAAGTGATCCCCCAAAAAATTTCTGCAATCCGCAAGTTTATAAAAGTTTATACGTTTGACTGCGCTGCTTTATATTTTGAGAAGAAAGCGACACCGTTCGATTCAGCGTAAGAAATTGTACTTGTACAAGTGTATTACTAAACACTCGTATTCTAGCGATTTATGGCCTTTGAAAATGAAGCGAAATTGTATTGTTGAAAAATCGCTCGCAGTATTTATTGTTGATGGCAAATCACTCGCACTACGTTTGTCCACAGGTTTGTCCTTGTATTTGTAATGCATAATGGCGCAATAAGGATAAAAATACCACCGTTCGATTCAGCGTAAGAAATTGTACTAATTACGAATGTCAAATTTATTACTAAACAACAACTTTGTCTTTGAAAGCCAAGCGAAATTGTATTGTTACCAATCGCTCAAAATTATTAAACTAATTATAGAAAATGCAGTACGTGTGACCCTCGATAACTTTGGTATCATTGGTTAATTTCTCTTTTTTGGCCGTATACCAGTGGATTCGTCTCACTTCTCGCTTCCTTTTGATAGTATTTTGAGCCCAAAAGCCCCAAAATATTTTACTATGAACGTTTTAAAGCGCAGTTTAATAATCCTAGACCAACTGGCGGCTGACAGTTTTGAAGAAGAATGTAGCGGTATTAAATATAACTTTACTTGTAGGGCCTACCGCATTTTAGTACTGTGTTATTAAGCCTTTCGCGCTCGTGTTCGTCGGACTTTTCCGCTTAGCTCGGGAAAGAGCTGTGTACTGTATGTATCATGTACATTGTACAGTAATGTGCGTAGTTGTATAGTCCCAGCGAGTTAAC